ATTAAAATGGTGCATATATTATTTTATATTCTGTTATTTTAAAACATTATGTGATAAAATTACCACTTTAATGGAGACAATATAATTTTCCATTAAGTATTCTTCTGTCGTTGGATATTTAAGTCTCACGATTTTACTCCAATATTTTACTGCCCAGAAATGAGGATATCGTTATGCTAGTTCTTTTTTCTTTTGAAATTTTCCATGTTGTAGAAACTATTGTTTCCTTAAACAGCTTTATTGAAATGCAGTTGACATACAATAAACATATTTTAAAGTGTATAATTTGGGGCACCTGGGGTTCAGTGGTTGAGCATCTGCCTTTGGCTCAAGTCGTGATCCCAGGGTCTTGGGATCGAGTCCCAGATCCGGCTCCCCACAGGGAGTGTGCTTCTCCCTCTACCTGTGTCTCTGCCTCTCTGCCTCTCATGAATAAATAAATATAATCTTAAAAAAATAAAGTATGTATACCTGTGAAAATATTGCCACAATCAAGAGCATGAATATATCCATCATCCCTAAAAGTTTCCTTTTTCCCTTTTCAATTCTTTCCCCTCTCTCTTTTCCTGTCCTCCTCTCCCATTCCCAGGTAACACCTGACTTGCTTTCTGTTACCATAGATAAAGTTTGCACTTTCTAGAATTTTCTATAAATAGAGTACATATACACTATGTATTCTTTCTTCTCAGGCTCTTTGACTCAGTCTAATTATTTTGAGAATCATCCACGTTGCTGTAGCCATATCTCATTTGTTTTTATTCCTAAATAGATTTCATTGCAAGGATATACTATGATTTGTTTACCCACTCACATGATAATGGACATTTGGTTGTTTATAGTTTAGACTGTTACAAATAAAGTTGCTATGACATTCATGTAAGTCTTTGAATGGAAATATGCGTTCTTTTCTCTTGGGTGAATACCTAGGAATAAAATGGCTGGATCACATGGTAGGTATATGTTTAACTTTTTAAGAAACCACTAAATTGTTTTCCAGATTGGTTGGACTACTTTAGATTTCACCAGTGGTGTATAAGAGTTCTAATTCCTCACCAACACTTGGTAAGGTCTGTCAGTCTTTATAATTTGAGCCATTCTAATAGGTGTGTAATACTTTCTCATTACTGCTTTAATTTATGATTTTTAATAACCAATGATTAATATGTTGACATATTTTCATTTACTTATTTGCCATCTTTGGTGATGTATTGTTCAAAGCTTCTGCTCATTTTAAGAAGACTTATTACTGATTTTTGAGGATCTTTTTTATGTAATATGAATATAAGTCTTTTATCACAGAAATGCACAGTAAATATTTTCTTCCAGACTGTGGCCTGTCATTTTCTTAGTAGCTTGATCAAGATGTATTATTCTTTTGTATATATTGTTGACTTTAATTTTAAACAAATTAATTTTTGTTTAGAATTTTTCTATCGGGATCCCTGGGTGGCACAGTGGGGGATCCCTGGGTGGCGCAGTGGTTTAGCGACTGCCTTTGGCCCAGGGCGCGATCCTGGAGACCCGGGATTGAGTCCCACGTCGGGTTCCCGGTGCATGGAGCCTGCTTCTCCCTCTGCCTATGTCTCTGCCTCTCTCTCCCTTTCTCTCTCTCTCTCTGTGTGACTATCATAAATAAATAAAAATTTTAAAAAAGCTTAAAAAAAGAATTTTTCTATCTATATTCATGAGGGATATTGGTCTGTAGTGTTCTTATAATATTTTTGTATAGTTTGGTATCAAAGTAACACTGGCCTCATAGAATAAATCAGAAAGTATTCTTTTGAGATTTCCTGGGTGTTTGTAGAATTGGCACTATTTCTTCCTTGAATATTTGCAAAATTCAATAGTGAAGCTCTCTGGGGCTTGGTAATCTGTGTCCTTTCATTTTTTTCCCTAATTGGTCCAGTTAGAGATTTACCAATTTTATCAATATTCTTAAAGAACTAGCTTTTGGTTTCATTGATTTCTGCTCTGATATTATGTATATTCTTACTTCTTCTGTCTTTTTCCTCCCTAGTTTCTTAAGGTGGAAGTTGAAGTTAAAACCTTTCTTCTTTGGAGTATAGACATTTAATGCAATAAAATTTCCCTTACATAATTCTTTAAGGGCATCCCACAAACTTTGATATGTTGTTTACATTTAAAAAAAAAATTTTGCAATTAATTAATTAATTGAGAGAGAACATGAGCAGGGGGAGGGGCAGCGGGAGAGAGAGAGAATCTCAAGCAGATTCCACCCTGAGCACAGGGCCCCATGCAGAGCTGGATCCCACAACCTGGAGATCACAACCTGAGCTGAAATCAAGAGTTGGACGTTTAATCTACTGAACTACCTAGGTGCCCCCATGGTTTTCATTTATTAAAAAGTCATCAGACTTTTTAATTTGCCCTTTGATTTCTTCTTTACCCCATGAGTTGAGTAAGTTTATAACTTAGTTTCCAAACATTAGGGGTTTTCCAGGGATAGCTGTTATAGATTTCTAATTTAACTCCCTTATGATCAGAGAACATACTTTGTGTAACTTAAATCCCTTTAAATTTATTGAGACTCATTTTATGTCCCAGAATATAGTTCACCCCAGTAAATGTTTCCTGTGCACTTGAGAAGAATGTCTCCTCTGCTGTTGTTGTGTGGAGTGTTCTAGCAATGTCAGGTTAATTTTTTTTAAAGATATATTTATTTATTTGTTCATGATAGACACACACACACACACACACACACACACACACACAGAGGCAGAGACACAGGCAGAGGGAGAATCAGGCTCCATGCCGGGAGCCCGACACGGGACTTGATCCCAGAACCCCAGGATGGCACCCTAGGCCAAAGGCAGATGCTAAACCGCTGAGCCACCCAGGGATCCCCCAAAGTCAGGTTAATTTGGTTAACAATGTTCACACTTCTAAATCCTTACTGATTTTCTGCTTACTTGTTCTACCAATTATTGAGAGGGTCTTAATATTTCTAACTATAATTGTAGACTTCTTTAATTGTATCAGTTTTTGCTTCATGTATTTCTAAACATTGTTAGTAGATACATATATGTTAGAAGTATTATGTCTTCTGGATGTATTGACTCCTTTAAATTTATAAAATAAACTCCTTCAAACTTGGTTGCTCTAAAATCTACCCCCATATTAATATAGCCACTTCAGCTTTGTTTTGACTGTTTTAGGATGGCATATATTTTTCCTTTTTTTTTCCTGTAGACTGAGTTGGGATTGATTGCCTTTGGGAAGCAAAAATACAGATGGGGATAGAAGCAAAAGGTGAACTCTTATTCATTGCTTGGAAAAAGTATTGCGGGTTACCATAAGGCCCTAATGGAAGTGTTGGTTGATTTTTGTTCCTTTCTGTCCTAAGATAAACTAGACTTTATTGCCTACCAGAATATAAGACCTATAAAAACTGTTCAAAATGAACAGTTATATGTGTAAGTTACGAGGAGGGTATATTCATTTCCTGCATGATCCTGTTCTAAAGACTTGTAGAATTAATTTTAGAAAATCATGGCATTCTGGACATTACACATATCCAGACATACTCTGCCATCAGTAATAGCCCTCTCATGATTAATGGGGAGAAAGGAGGAAGATCAATAAAGTTGTACTGTAAGTTAAACAGTACATCCAATCAACATTCTCTTCCCCTTAACCAACTAGATAAATAAACAAAAACCTGGGTGAGACACGAAGCAAAGACTGGAAAAAGTATCTTGGATGAGTCAGATAAACACACAGCAAATATATCAACCCATTTACAGCTTTCTAAAATAAATTTTTATTTGGCAATTTTTAATAGCATTTTTATTGAGATATATTTCCTGTAATAGTCACCATTTTGAAGTGCACACTTCAGTGGTTTTTTAGTGTATTCACTATGTTGTACAACCATCCCCACTGTCTAATTCCAGATCATTTCCCTACCCTCAAAAAGAAACCCTGTTGCCTCTAGCAGTTAGTTTCAATTTCCCCTCCCCCCACCCCCTGACAACCACAAATCTGCTTTCTGCCTTTGTAGACTTGCCTGTTTTAGACATTTCATACAAATGGGTCATGCACTACGTGGCTTTTCCCATCCATCTTCTTTTACTAACAATAACGTTGTCAAGCATATGTCAATTTTATTGTACTCATTATTCAAAGATATTTTACTGGAATGTAAGCAGACCATTTGCTCAGAGCAGTAATAATTAGAATATGTAGGATAATTTGAAGATATTCAGCCTACGATTTGGAAGTCTCTATTCAAGTGCTAATCTCTTCCCACTTTAACTCCTAAAGACTTCATTGTCCTGGGACTACAATAAGGATATTAGGTGAGATAGTATCATTGTTCTCTTTTTTATTCCTGTTACTCCAGGAATCTCAAAGACACAGAGACCCATACTGGTGTACCTCTTGTTGCAAAACATTGCTTGTCTTGTTGCAAAAAATCAGGCAGCTAGATTTGAAAACTTTAGTTCCTAACTTGATCTGGAGACAGGAAATTTGGGACAGCTGCTATCTGTAACCGTTTGACCTGATCATAAATACAGGAAGTAATATCAGTTTCTTAATCAGGAGAGAAATATAACAAAAGACAGCCTGAGCTGTTTGTATTGGGGTGTGTTTCCCTTCAATTCTGAAAAGGGATAATGTAATCAATGAATTCCACTGTGACTTCCTCCCTGATAAAAAGTTTCACGCTTAAAAAAAAAAAAACTATTAGAACTTTGCAAGTATCCACTATGCTTTTATACTTTTATTTTCCTATCTCATTCACAGTAACATCTCCAATATCTAGACTAGGTGAGGGGTTGGCACTTGATATTTAATATTCGTTGAATAAATAGTAGATGGATAGATGGCTGGGTGGCTGGGTAGATGACTAAAAGCCATGTAACTAAAGGCTGATTTAAACAGCAAGGATAAAAAAAGTCATGTTGAGTTTCCTTTTCTATCCCTTCTTACAATGGATAGAATAAATATAAAATGTTAACAACTAAAGCAACAGTAGCTCAGAAGTAGAAATAGTTTCATTTTATTAATTTTGTTACAAAGCTAGAGACAGTACATTTCATAGGTTCCTTTGCTGCCAAAATTAATCAGCACCAGTTCCTCCTGGTTTGAATTCTACAAGCCATAGTGTTAATGAAAATATGTGCATGTTCTCTTTGTATTAAAAATAAACAAAAACAGAAATGTAAATAAATGTCACCTCGTTCATTGTTACCACACCTTGGAAGGAGATGAAATAATTATATGTTTTTATGTTCAGTAAAATATATGCAGTATACATATGAATGTTGTTGTTAAAGGACAAAAATCACAGGATTCTGAAAAGCTACACACTACTTAACTGGGCTGATACCCTTGAAGAGGGGGACGGTTCCTGAGTCAGTATTCAAGTCTGGGGAGAAGAGCTGGGTGGCATGGAAGTCCATCTTTCTGATGCCCTCCTTTTTAGCTATCATCTGCCCCATCTCTCCCTGCCCAACCCTTCTCACCTCTCTCCCCTCTTCTCTCCCATGATCACCCATTCCCCTTCTACCATTATTCCATTTCCTTCCTTCCTGCTCCCACCAGAACCTGACGGGTGACAGTGACCAACCTAGGTGGAGAGAACCAGGACCATCCTTTACTTTTTTTTTTTTTATTAAAGATTTTATTTTTAAGTAATCTCTACACTCAACATGGTTTTTGAACTCATAACCCTGAAATCAAGAATCAAATTCTCCACGAACTGAGCCAGCCAGGTCCCCCCTTGTCTTTTACTTTTATGATGACGATCATTTACTTCTTTTCTCCCCTGAAGTCAAAGCCCAATGATGAGAAAGAAAAGAAGGTCATGATAAATATTGCTCAGCACCCCAACTTGCCTGAATTTTTCTTTGTATCCTCATTCAATTACTTGCATTTTACAACCTGATTGATGCTTTCATGATCAGGAACATTTAAAAATATTATTCCAGTATTTCTAGTTGCTACAAAAATCAAAGCATTCTCTCTTTGTGCTAGCATTGCAATTACACTTAAACATCATTGTTGTTGCAACAAGGTATAATAAAATCTACCTGTGCTGACCAGGTTCTACGTAACAGTCTTGGATCTGGATTCCCAGCCTTAAATAGTTACTAGAGCTCTGGAGTTCTAGTAGAAGGAGTGGCCCCTGAACTCTTCATTTCTTGAACTTTTACTTTCCCTCCTAGGATATCACTCTTTACATAAACAACTCTTTGCTGCATTACCTGGCATCTCACTTTCCCACGCTGCAGACCCCAGTGGATCAGAAAGGAGTGGAGAGGGTATGGGTTTTTCCATCTTTTGGTTAAATACCAGAGAGTGCTTGTGTCATAGGAGAGACCTGCATGTTGTATCAGTTCAGAGCCTACCTGGAATACCTAAAGGAGCCTCCCAACTCCAATGTGCCTTTTAAATTTAAGTAAAAGGTAGGCCTGCCTAAACGTTATCCCAACTTTTCTTTGTAATTATTTCTAATTACAAAAATCTTGATAAGTGAGCAGAAATGAAACAAGTTTGTCATGTCTTATATCCAGAAACTGGACGGAATTTCTTCCATTTATTTTCACGTTACTGAATGTGTTATAATAAAACCTGCACCAAAGCTTTAGTCTACTTGGTAACCCTGTTTTGACTCTGAAACTACACTGAATTACTCATAAAGCAAGTTCCATTTGGCACAACCGTATTTTTCAGTGATTATGAAAAGAGGAAAAATTGAGCAAATGCTTCAGAAATAAATTTCTAATTTCCTGTAATTAAATCTTGATTTCCGAAGGGAGTTCCTGTAAGGCTGCAACATGCTTCACTGGTAGAAAAAAAAATGTTTCATTCGGCCGATATTATAAATTAATAAGGGATCTTTATGTTAGAGAATCAGGTAAGCATGCCATTTCTATAAATATTAGAGATTTAAGGGCTCAAAATTGTAGCAAAATCCGTTCTGAGAATATAGGTTTTCAAGGGCTCTGCTTTCAGTATGATTTCTCTTTGTTCATCAACACAGTTCATTGAGACCCTTCAGAGGAAGCAGTATTTTTCTTCCATGTGTTAACCATCACTCATATCTACTCTATAATAAACGTCCTTGCAAAATGCTAGTCAGTACCCTATACGTAAATGAAAGAGAATTCACATTACTTCAAATTTCTCATGAATCTGGAAGGCGGGGGAAACTTAATGATTAACTCTGGGATGGTATGATGCCAACATTTTTATTGGGAAAAAGAGATCTGTCTCATGAGGGAGAGGTTGACCCTTGAAGGACAGGTAGCCTCAGAATTCTTACCTGAACTAGAGCTTTGCAAATGAGCTTCTATCTACAAGATTTTCTTATCTAAAGCTTTGCTCTTCTACCACAGAGCATTCTCCTTTCTATCCACAAGCCTCTTATCTCAGGTTTCACATTAGAAAGGGCTCCAAAAAGACAAAGCAATGCTTTGCAGTTCCACAGTGATTTAATGAGCCCGTAGGGTTGGCTTTACTCCGGTGGAAGTGGTAGAAGCAGCTGCAGCACAGATTTCCGAGTGGATTCGCTTGAGGTCTTGGGACAAAACAATCCAGGGACCATGGACTTGGTACTGACTCAGATATGGAGTGCGGTCAGGGTGAGAGTATCCCAGAATAAGCTAAACTTGTACCATATAAGACTGTAGGCATTTATTTCGGAAGGTGTTGAGATCTAAGCATTGTACCTCTTCCTGAAAGAAATATTCATTGATCCATCTTCCTGGAACTATTCTTCAAGGTTTCTTTTTTACTAGATAGAATCACTCCTATACTATGAAAAAAGAAATGTACCAAGTCAGCCATGACACCTTGTTTTCTATTGAACAATATGTACAAATCTCGTAAATAAATAGGTGAGAAATCCCAAGTGGGCACCTGTAATACAGGCCAGTTACATCTGGAGTTTCCTGGAGCACACGTAATTGTAAGGTTTGCCCTTCCTACAGTCCTGCGCTTGCCATTTCCCTTGTCTTTGAGCCAAAACACAGTCCTTGCCACGCTTTAAACGTTGAGGGGGCCCTTTCCTCCAGTTGGTGAAGGTGACAGGTTCCCCGCCAATCCACTCCCAGTGGCCAGCATGCACTTGGTCATTCAAACCTAAGGTGAATCAAAGAATGTGCCAATATTACATTTATGCTCAGATATCGTATCACTCTATTGCTCTAAGCTCAGTAATCACAAATACAGGCCTACATTTTAAAACACAGAAAAAGGCCTGGGAATCCTAAAATGCAGTTAAGAGTATATGGCTTTGAGGGGTACCTGGATGGCTCAGTCAGTTAAGCACCTGCCTTTAGCTTGTGTCATGATCTTGGGGTCCCTCTCCTGCCCCTCCCCTCCACACGTTCATTCTCTCTTTCTCTCTCAAATAAATAAAGTCTTAAAAAAATTAAAATCCAAAAAACTTTAAAAAGAAAGAACATATGGCTTTGGAGTCAGGCAGATCCAAATCCAAATCCTAGATCCATAACTGACTAGTTGAGCAACTTTTGGCAGGTCACTTAACCACTCTAAATTTTCATTTCCTCATCTAAGAAATGGGAATAAAAATAGTTTATGAAGGGCTGTTTTAAGTATTAAATAAGATAATTTAAGTAGTATGTAAGATAAAGTTGGTGGCATACATACATGTTTAGTACACAGTAATTATTATTCACATTATTCTACAGTCAGAATACCCCAGGGAAACAGGTACACTTTTGTCTATTGTTCTTTCTTGCTATTTAAATGTCTTGGTTTTCATATTTGAAAGTAGCTTAACTAGGTATTATTTTTAGTCTGGAACGTAAGATTTTTCAGCCTGCTATAATTCCAACAAAAAAGCAGCTTTTCTCAACTTGCCTCTCTATTCCCACTGGCAATTTTACAAATTACACTTCAGTGTTGCAAAGCTTTTGTCATTTTTCTTAAAGGAATAGTCCTCCTCCTCACTTCCCTTAATAGTAGAAATAAAGAGGATACAATGTGAAAAAAGTCACCTATGACAGCATGATCTGGCTGGCATCTCCCAACCAAACTCAACCAGGAAGACAGTCTTAGTTGCATGGCCTATAACCTCATCCCAAGTGATTCTCCCTTAGTATTTTGAGGATAGAATAAAATGGAGTACGATCACCTTCTGGATGGTTTCCTTGCATTATTGATCAGGATGTGTTATGCCTAAGTACTCTGTGGGAATCGAGGCTTGAGATGAGTCGATGTGGAAGCAGAGAAAGTGTCTCCTCCAGCTTTAACTCTCAGAGAATTTCCCAATTTAGAAATCTACTAAGTATTACAGAGATTTTGAGAAGCCAATGTTGAGTTTACTATAGTTCCCTAAAATCCAATACCTTCAAGGACAGATGGTGAAAATACTTTGATGTGCTCCTAGAATTCTACTCCTAAAAATAGAATCTTAAGAGATTTGTATTATTATTAAAATTGAAGAGGATATTAAAACTTCAGAAAACAAGGGATAAAATTAAGATCCACCTATAATTGTCAATAGAGGTAAACATTTCTAAATCTTTGGTATATTTCTATATATATGTATTTGTATATATCACATGCACGTGTATGTATACACATATCACATGTATAACAATTTTTTATTCCACATTATTTTTTGCTTCATATGGCTGTGGATTCTGCTTTTTTACTTAGCACCCTGTCACAAATATACTACATATTTTATATATGATATGCTTCCAACATATATTTCTTGAATGAAATAATAAACATAAAGCACTTTGTCACATCTTTACTATTCAGGCCTTACAAAGTATTAAATAGTAAATATTCCTTCGTATGACTACACCATATTTATTTAACTATCCCCTGTTTATAGCTCTTGCTGATTTTTTACTTTTAGAAATACTGGTCATTGAATTCTCTTACCTATAAACCAAACCACACCCCTTATTATTTCTTTGAGATAGATATATACAAATCAAACTGTTGTGTGATTAAGATGAGTTTTAAAAGACAGACTGTCCAGAAAAGAAAAAAAATAGACCATCCAACCATCTAACTGTTGCTTGTTACTGAAAAACCACAGTTATTTGGCCCATGGGAGGGCAATGCCCTCTTGATGTCCTCACCCTCCCGTTGTTAATACAGCACAAACACTTGCCTATCCAGAAGGGCCTTCTTCCACTGATGTCCCAAAGCCATCGCATGTGCTGCCTGGAGAGAACAGTTACAAGGCTGCCTTGGTGACTACAAGCAAACAAACAAAAAGGAAAGCATTAATGATAAGGAATCCAACATTCCCGTTGATATGAAATTCAACACAGAAATCAAATCGGTTTAAAATAGAAAAAAAAAAAAGCATAGTGTAGATAGAACTTTCCAGGATTTGGAATACTCTATTATTTTTCTTTAATGACTATCTGTAAGGTGGAATAGGTGACAGCAAAGAAAGTGAGATTTTTTTATATATATATTATCTGGATTGAATCACAAAATTCAATAGGTTTTAAACATCTTTTTAGAAAAATCAGCAACTACCTACTTATAAAAATTAATGCCAAAATATTACTACTCTCATGGGGAGTCTATCTCTAAATGGCATAAATTTGACAAATATCCAGTTAATTTGATCAGTAAGGCAACCCAAACTATTCAAATAAAAACAATTATTTGGCCTATGGGAGGATGATGTTTTACACTTGATATATATATATATATATATATATATATATATATATATATATATATATATATATATTTTATTCATGAGAGACACACACACAGAGAGAGAGAGAGAGAGAGAGAGAGAGAGAGAGAGAGGCAGAGACACAGGCAGAGAGAGAAGCAGGCTCCATGCAGGGAGCCCGATGCAGGACTCGATCCGGGACTCCAGGATCATGCCCTAGGTGTGAAGGCAGGTGCTCAACTGCTGAGCCACCCAGGCATCCCTACACTTGGTATATTTAATCAACTACCCCAATAATTGTCAGACTCAGTAAAATGAGCATGGTCTCACTGTTGAAACTTCACAGGTGTTGTAGAAGTTACAGCATGTGTTCCTATAAGCATATATAAATATTTTCCCCCCAAATAGAATTGTTTTTATGTTTAAACTGCATAACATAATGATTTGACTTATATATATTGTGAAGTGATCACAATAAATTTAGTCAGCATCTCTCATTTCATTTAGATGTCAAAAAAAAAAAACACAAAAAAAGAAAGAAAAGAAAAACAATTGTTTTCCTTGTGATGAGAACTCTTGGGATTTACTCTCAATAACTTCCAAATATACCATATAGCAGTGTTAGCTATACTCATCATGTTGTACTTTATATCCCAGTATTTAATTCTTATAACCAAAAGTTTGTGCCTTTTGACCACTTTCGTCCAAAGACCCCACCTCATATCTCTGGCCTATGCTAATCACATCTGATCTTTTTTTCTAGGAGTTTTTATTTTTTATTTTATTTTTATTTTTTAAAGATTTTTATTTATTCATTCATGAGAGACACAGGGAGAGAGAGAGGCAGAGACACAGGCAGAGGCAGAAGCAGGCTCCATGCAGGGAACCCAATGTGGGACTCGATCCCGGGTCTCCAGGATCAGGCCCTGGGCTGAAGGCAGCGCTAAACCGCTGAGCCACGTGGGCTGCCCAGAATTTTTAAAAAAGATTTTACTTATTTATTCATGAGAGACACACAGAGAGAGGTAGAGACATAGGCAGAGGGAGAAGCTGGCTCCAGGCAGGGAGCCCCATGTGGGACTTGATCCCAATCATGCCCTGAGCTGAAGGCAGACGTTCAACTGCTGAGCCACCCAGGCATCCCAAGTTTGTTTTTTTGTTTTGTTCTAAGTCTCTATATAGTATTTGGCTTTCTTTATCTGGCTTATTTTACTTAGTGTAATCCTCAATGATAATTATGTTGTTACAAACAACAGGATCTTCTTTTTAATGACTGAATAATAACCCAGTATGTGTGTGTGTGTGTGTCGCACGTGCGCATGCATGTGTATATCACAACTTCTTCATTCATTTGTCGATGGACTCTTGGTTCATTTCCATGTCTTGGCTATTATAATTAATAAACATGCTATAAACATAAGGGTGCAGATATCTCTTCAAAATACTGTTTTGTTTTCCTTCAGATATATTGCCAGAAGTGGAACTGCTGGATCATATGGTAGTTATATTTTTAGTCTTTTGAGGATCCTCCATTCTGTTTTCCATAGTGGCTGTGCCAATTCACATTCCGTCACTATACACAAGGGATTCCTCTTTTCCACATCCTCACCAGCAATTGTTATCTCTCATCTTTTTGATGATAGATATTATAACAGGCTTTATTAGGACAGTTTTACTCTATAAACAGAATGAGAATTATTCATGAATTATTTTTGCTGGTAGCTGAAAAATTCTTATAAGCAATATTTGATAGTTTTAATTCCCCAATGGTGCCCATTAAAAGCTTTTTAAAAATGCCTTAAGTAAAAAGCTAATGATTATTTTTTTTCCTTTCTTCTTCTTTTTTTTTAATACAGAAAGTTTCAAACAAGAAACAAAGTCACCATGATCTTGCCTGGTTAACATCCATTGATATTTTATTCATTTTGCCCATGTCTTTCCAAACTTCAGATCCATTTCTTTGCTTTTCAAGATCACATATGGTGAACACAATTTATCCATTTCTTAATGGTTTTTTTCCCCATTAAAACCTGTGCAGGGGCACCTGTGTGGCTCTGTGGTTGAGCGTCTGCCTTCAGCTCAGGTTGTGATCCTGGGGTCCTGGGATAGAGCCTCACATTGGGCTCCCTACAGGGAGCCTGTTTCTCCCTCTGCTTATGTCTCTGCTTCTCTCTGTGTGTCTCTCATGAATAAATAAATCTTAAAAAATAAAAAAATAGAAACCAGTACTTAATCATTCTATCATGCAGTGGTGACTTCTAGGACTTCTGAGGTATGTAAGTCTCTTTACCCCTTCTCTGAATGTCCTCAGGCTGCTGGATTTGGGTTTTGTGATTGAATCCGACCTCATTATTTACTGTCATCTCCTGTCTGACAGTCACAGCAGACACGATAGCACAATTTCTTCCCTTCCTCTCACATCCAATTTGGTAATTCCAACGTGCTGAGGGTTTAGAACGCAGAATACCAAATGTGTGCTATGTGTAGGCCGAGGGAAGGCTCGAGGGGCTGCCTCAGTCAATATGATATATTGAACAAAGCACTAGAGATCTGAGTTCTCTTCCTCTTCTGCCCCTAATTTTCTTATGGCTGTAACTTTAGCCTCACCTTCATCACTACGAATTAACACGTTTTATTCAAGGATATTTAACATCTCCTCCTGCTTTAAGATTCTTGAAACTATTGTGAAAGCACACTTTGTAAAAGCCAGTTTAGCTGGTCAAGTACTAGTTTGATTTGTCTCTCCAAGAAGCAAAAAGTCCCCAAAGAGCAAGATGGGAATGTAGCTGTGTTTAGGATAGGTAAAATGTTAGACCATAGTTATTTATAAAAGAAATATTTAGGCACTGGTATGTTGATTATTTTACAAAGACGTTCCTTTTCTTTTATGCCAATATACACACCAAATAGTGTGAATGTTTTCTATATAGATATGTATAAAGAGAGATTGAAAAAGAAAATATAGAGGGAAACATATAAATAAAAGTCTTTTGAAAGCTCTGAAATTTGAAGGTGTTCAAAGTGTAGCATTAAAAACAAACTAATCTTTCTAGCTAAAGAAATAAACATCTACTTTGAAATGTTTTTGATTAAGTATAGATGTATTTCAGAGTAACTCTTTAAGGATAGGCCAGCAGGGGTTCCAGACACTCCTGTGGAAAACAAAATGGTTTTTTTTAGATAATGATTTATAATAATAGAATTACCAAATGTACAATGACTGCCTAAGGAAATGAGCAGATGAGATTACAATATGTAAATTCAAGAAATACCTAATCTAGGAGTCTAGCTCCTCTGGGTTGGAAAAAATAATAAAACACCAATGGAGAGGAAAGGAGATTGGAGATAAAGATTGAGTTGAATTAGCAATCTGATTAGGGACAAGGAGGAAAGCAAAATTTGCTGTTCTTTTTGAAATGTGGGTGCTGTAAATGACCCTCTGTAAAGGACCTTCAGAGAAGGGAACGCCAGGAAACACAGCCCAGAATTGACTAATGATGCCTGATACCAAAACATACTAATATTAATTCTAATTATAAAATCTAAAACCATTTCCTAAAATTAATCCATGAGAAGGTAAATAGCCAGGTTGTGAAATGTCGAAACTATACATTTTATATCATAGAAGCAATGGCTAATTTCCTAGGAGAATACCTATTTTTCTTCCTTTTATATATATTTTTAATTAAGTTTTTAATTTTAATTCCAGTATTGTTAATATACGGGGTTATATTGAATTCAGGTGTATAAAAGAGTGAAGAATGCCTGTTTTCAAGACAAAGAGGGTGGAAAAGAAGAGAACATAATTAACCTGAAAAGTAATGAGTCCAGAGAAGGGAGGTAGGGAGGCCCAACAGGTGAAAAAAAACAGGTTTAATGGTAGAGGAGGTCCTGGGGTTCACAATAAAATTATACTGAAGAGGTGGCCTTGCTGTCCAAAAATATTTCTTTTACAAAGACTGAACCAAAGGAATATGGAGATCTTTTATTTTTCCTTTTAGTTTGCTTTTAACTTATTGCTAGATATTTTTTGAAATGTTTGTAACTAGTATTAACTGTTCTTGGAGTAATCATTCTCATCCTTTTGAAATACAATGCGTATTGAATATCACACAAATCAGATCAAATATTCATACTCATTTTTATATAAAAATTGAAAGTTGAAAGCTTTTATGATATTTTAAAAATCTTACATCATATATATTTTCTTTACCTCTTTTACAAATCCTGGATACCATCAGAAATAGTATTTGATAGATGTTTTAAGTTCTGGACAAATCTGGTAAACAGATAATGTGTAATTTGAAGTAGTTTTATTACTGATAGACACATAATTAGTCTTTTTCTAAAATATGATGGAAAAATTCCAATTGTCCCTAAAAACTATTTTTTTGTTCTGGAAGTTCTCTCAGTTTTATATCTTAAAAGATATCACCATTCTAGAACTTAAAACAATTCCATGAGACTAGAGTTTATCAAAATATCTTCAAAATAATATGAAAAAATTGCTTCTCAAACAGCTTATAATATCATATTTGATCTATTAGGTATGATCTTTAAT